AACACGGATGTTTGAGGTGGTCTGAGCGGCTTCGGCCGCGTAGGCCTTCTGCACGTTCAGCTGCTGCCTCAGCTCAGCGATCTGAGAAGCGTGAACGCACTCAAGAGCGTCCACGCGAGCGTGGAGCGCCTGAAGACCGTGGTCATCCTGGGGTTGACAATATGATGAACATCCAGCACCGCCGACAGAAGCATAACTCTGTCCGCGGTACGATCCACCGCGAGGTGGATCGGATTGTTGACCAGTCCGAAGACGAACCGAGGTCCGGTTCGTTTTCGTATTCGTTGGAGACAATCGGGTCTCCTCTGAGATACGTGGTTTCACCGAAACGTCCTGATGACGGACGTTCCGGAAATGGTGAAGGCGTACGAAGCCCACCACGGACTGGAGACGAAACACTGCGGTGTGCAGTGTTTCGAGGGGTGTTGTGCTCAGACACAACACTAGGATGCTGACGAGTGCAAGCGAGCTTAGCACGTAGCTCCTTAACGTTTGCGAGTACACAGTTAGTCGTGTACCCGGTGAGGTCTCTCTCGTTGATGCGGGGAGCACCAGTGGGACAGTGCGGGCAATGGACGCCCACCGGCACTGCACAAGGAATGTTCGCGTTCACGGAACCTTCGTGAACGCGCTGGACGACGGAAGTAATGGAATACTTCATGAAGCGCTCACGAGCGGAAGCAATTCGCTCGCGATAAGCTGTCGAATCTTTGTTGAAGTTTGCAACAAACTGATTCCAGCTTTGACAGAGTGCCTGCCACTCGGGCACTCTGCTTCGCCCCGAAGTCTTCTTCGAGCTCCAATACCGGAGCTCGTGAAAGAGCGATATATAGTAGTCTCGCCTTTGGTTCGTCGTCGGCTCGAAGTGCTTCGAGGCAGCTTCAGCGCCATTGCCAATTCGATTGTCGACGTACAACGGTATCTCGTTCGGAGGATCCATACACCCGTACCGATCCTTGATGACGCTCTCAGACGGCATCCAAGGTTCGCGCACCGAGTCGTCCGTGCGTGTGGCATCACGCTGCTCCGAGGTGATAGCAAGTGCTTCCAGTCTGGAAGGCACTGGATCACTAGCACTTCGCGGACGCTTCGAAGATGAAGCGTCCGAATCGTCTTCACGAGGGCGGCGAGTCCCAGCCGCAGGCTTGGGGTCATGTGACAGGGAAGACGAGGGTACCCTCGTCTTCAAGCTCTCCATCCTCGTAGTCCACGGGGATACCACCGTCGGACGAGAAGATCGACGATCCATCGAAGACAGTCCTAGGACTGTCTGGCTTCGCGGCCCCAACGCGCTGCTTAGCTTCGAGCTCGAGCTTCGTCTCTTGAAGCTCGAAATACTTGTCGACAGAGAAGTTCTTCTCTGTCGTTCCACTCAGAGGTGTCGGCGTTACTGCCGACACATGTGCGGAAGCAAGTACCGACGCAGAGGTCGGTGCGGACGCGGGGTTAATCACAGGCGTCGACACCGAGGTCGACGTGGACACTGGCGAGGACACTGGTGTTCGCAGTGAGGCGCTCATTTCGCAATGAGCGCGGAATTCTCTCGGAGGCTTGACGGACTCGTCAAGGCTT